ATTCAGCGTCGGGTTAATGAATAAGCTTTTTTTTTTATTAAAAAAAAAAAGCATATAAACTCTGATTAACAAATAATACGTTAAGATGCTTTGATCTAGATAAATTGTAATCCAGGTTCTACGTTAAGGACACTATTGCAAGAGTACACCACCTTTCTCCTGTCCCGGTGGCACTCATTTCCCGACAGCTAGGGTTAGCCAGAGATTTATAGTTAATTAATGTTGGCTAAGTGTTAGGTGTCGAGGAAAAGATTGTCGGGAAAATCATATAAACCCCCCATGTCCGAACTTAGAACCCAATTCTTTTGCATTATTTAAAAACTCTCTACGTTTACGTGAATCCATACGACGTGAACCCAATACATCTTTTTCACGATCAAATGGACGTTTGCTAGCATCATCCTCTTTCCATCTACGTGATTTGTTATAACTTTCGGAATGAGATTCTAAAAGTGATTTTGATCGATGTTGTTCCTGAAGTAAAGAAAGAAAGATATTTACCATGCCATCATAATGCACATATGGATAATGAAGTCAATACATACATTATATACTCTGATAGTTTCAGCTTTCTCAATATCGATACGCGAATATTTTATTGGTTCGTCATCTTTTTCTTTTTCATATTTACGCTTTTGGCTAGTGCCCTATTAATTGTATAATGTGATAACAATAAAATGCTTATAAATCATAGATGATTAATTATAAAAATTTATTCAAGTGCGTACTTCTTGTTGTAATCTTGTCAGCCTATCGGCAGGCGTTTCCGTCCAAAGCGAATTGTTAAGTTTTGCTGGATCATGTGTTCTTTGTTTGAATTGGCGAGAACGCATGTTGGTTGGTGTCTCTGAAACATCAAAAAGTGAAATGGCTTATTAAAATTATAAGTTGAAAAAAAATTGTATACACTAACCTCCTAAAAATTTTGATTCTGGTGGCACAAGCATCCATTCTCCGCGTTGCAAAGGTTTGTCGGATTTATCTTCAGGCTTATATAAAATAATGAGTTATTAATAATGTTTATTAGACAATTAGAGTTAGAATCCGGATATAATCCTAATATAATTTATAGCCAGGATATAACTATGTAAGAAGTCTTTCATATTGGCTAAATCAAATTGTCGAATTTTATCATCGGTCAAGAGAGCAATACACATTTAGCTCTGATGGTGAACATAAGAGTAACAAAGTAACATAGAAGTAATGAATAAACGTTATGCACAAGTTAGCATACCATATTAGAACTTATTTATATCTGAACTAATATCTGGATTTATATCTGATCTTATATCTGGATTTATGCATTATATTTGGATTATATTATATTCGGATATATTTTTCGAAATATTGGATCCGGATTTATTTTAAATTCGGATTGTCCAGAAATAAATATAAATCCGGATTCAACTACTACCTCTAAAACAAATCAGTGTTTCATAAAATAAAGAATTAAAATGACACATAGAGTTACCTCTGATGCTTGACGCATTTTTTTCAGCCCTTTCTTCGAACTCTTGAATAGTTCGTTTTAATATAAGTTCATCATTGTTTTCTTCAAAGCCCTTAGGTAATACTGGCCCAATAACAATTTCATCATCCTCCTCTTCGTCGAAATTTGAATATTTAGGATGCGGAATTTCTGGTCCAATTGGACGTCTTTGAGTAACGCTCTTACGTTGAGAGTCTACATTTTGTTCCTGTTTAGCTGATTTTTTTTCTCTGTCGTTCTGCTAGAAGATCAGGTGGCAAAGCTGGCAAGTAAGCATCTGGATCTTCTTCAGTTTCATGAGTTACTTCTATCGATGAAGGTATCTGAGGACCGATTTGTGTGTTGCACTGGAGAGACATGGGACTAAATGATAACACATGTCCCTCAGGGTCTTGGCTTGTTTTATCCTCATTCCATTGCTTGTTAAAGACCGACTTTAAAGTATCACTATCACTGGTATTTACCTGAATTTTTGAAAATAGGCTTGCTGGGATTTGCGGTCCAATTTCTTCAGACATTATTCTGATTAAAGTAAGAAAGAAATCATAAATTATTTCGTATTTATCATATATACCGTAAAGCATGG